ATTTGCCTACCTTTACCAACTCAAGTTCGAATTCCCCTTCCCATAGATTAGAGCAGTTTAGAATATCTTTGAGTAAGAAAAAAGACATCTATGGTAATTTATCTATACTATTATCCTAGTATGAGAGCTCCTTCTGTCAATTTAGGTGAAGTGTGTAACTTCTGATTCGATTTTTTGACATTAGATGTAAATACTGATGTTGTGAACTAATTTGTATGTGGGCTTGGGACACAGGTTATTGTAGCGAAAGTATCAACTCAAAGTTTCAACAACATTAGCAAATGGCCAACTCCTTGGTAAGAACTGAAATTCAGAATTCCAGCAAACACCAGCTTTGCTAATTCTGCAGTTTCTGATATGTTGTTGTAGTTAGAGAACCGAACGATTCATATGCGTATGCCATGATCACATTGTCCAGATGAATTTGAGTTAAATTTGATCGTGTCAAACTAAGTCGGAATGACAGATCAGCCCTGCTGCAGCATTATGTTATGGATAGAAAGAGTGTTGTCAACTTAAACATGGTTGGTGGGATAGTGGTACATGCCAATAAAAATGAATATGTTAAAATTGCAGTAGGAAAGCTTACTATTAGCGGTGAATGTCATTTTGGTGACTTTTATACTAATATGATATATGCAAAACCTAGATCAGAGCACAAATTGTTAGCATCACGAAGGTTTAGTGTTGAATGAAACATTTGCATCGTAGAGTCAAGCGTCTAAATAGCAGATGTTCTTTCAGGTTGAGTCCAATAAGACTATGCAGAGGTTTGAATCAAGAAAGTCTCATTCGTGGTGGTGGGATAGTCACATCGGTCCCAAGAACTCTAAGTGGCTTGCAGATAATCTCGAGGGTGAGCAACAAACACCTCTTTTGGTCTAATTTGTAACTTTTGTATTTATTTATTTTTAAGATGTCGCATGCAATGCCACAAAGGCATAGGAAAGAGATGTCTAATGATGAATTTCCTCAATATTATGCTTCATATCTAGTTTCTCATAGAAAATGAAAGATATTACGCCTAGGTTAAATTTAAAAAATAGTAATCCGTTTATAAGATTTCATTCAGCTTGACCTAGCTAAATTCGAGCATCGGTATTATATTTGGTTTTGACTTATTTACGAGGAATTCTAGGTTAAGTCAGATTCGTTTTACTATTTTGAGCTAATGCTTTCTTCTTCTTATACGTTATCAAAGATTTCTTGTTGCACATTCTAAATGAAGGCAAGGTTAAAATGGGTAAATCGGACTACGGTTGTATAATTTTAGTGTTACTTCTCCTGGTCTAATGGTATAGGGGTTATTCAACCCCAACTACCCAAACCGGTGGAGGAAGTTGGTTTTCCAAATTATGCATGTTTAAATATCTAAAGAGTTGATTTTTTTTGTCAAAGTTCTAAAGTGGTGATTGCTATAATCGATTTTTCACCAAAATGCCTCTCATGAAAATGACCAAACGAGCTTTCTCCTCAGAGATGGATCGGAGCATCAAACGGATGTTGAAGCTGGTTGAAGAGGATGGGGATACATTTGCAAAAAAGGCAGAAATGTATTATCAAAAGAGGCCTGAATTGATTGCTCATGTTGAAGAGTTTTATCGCTTGTACCGGTCCCTGGCCGAACGTTATGATCATGTGACAGGAGAATTGCGGAAGAATGCACCCTCAGATCTCCAATCCCAGAGTTCATGCCTTTCTGACATTGGTTCAGAACTCCCATCTGCAGTGCCATCTCCTGATGTCCAACCTGGAAGACTAGGTCGTCGGAAATCTGGCCCTCGTGCTGCTGGCTTTGATTTCTTCCTTGGCCCTGGTGGAAACGGCTCAGATAATTACCAGAAAGAGGGAGACGAATCATCTTCATTAACCGATTCCGAGCCAGAATCTGATGATTCTTCAGTCAACAATTATTCAACTCCCTTGTCAAATGGTCTTGATCATGGGCAGACGAGAAAGATAATTGAATTGGAAATTGAGCTTCGTGAAGTGAAGGAGAAGCTCCGGATGCTGCAGGAAGAAAGTGTAGACAGTTCATTCACAGGTACAAAACCTGATCATTCCGATGAATTTCCTGCAAAAATTGCAGAATATGAGCAGGAGCTGACAACCACAAATGAAAAATTGCGGGAATCGGAAGAAGAGATTGCCAGGTTGAACATCAAGCTCAAAAGGTACGAGTCTCCGCAGCATAATAATGGTATTAAGGTTGCACTTGAACCAGAGTCTGCACAACATAATAATGGTCTTAAGCTTGCACTTGAACCAGAGGCTGCACAACATAATAATGTTCTTAAGCTTGCACTTGAACCAGAGTCTCCGCAACATAATAATGGTCTTAAGCTCGCACTTGAATTATCAAAACCGAAAGAGGCCAAGATACATGAGGGTGAGCTAGACAGGGAGATAGATGAATTGTCAGAGATTCATAAAAGGGTTGGTGGGTCGGGAGAAGTTCAAGACCCAGATAGCAAGATTGAGGCATTGATGAAAGAACTTAGAGCCACAAAAGATAGACTTCAACATTCAGAAAAAGAGATTGCAAGTTTGAGACAGCAACTTGAGAGTAATAAAGCCTCTGAGGAAATCCGACGGTTGCAGGGTCAACTTGTATCTGCTAACAAGGATATTTCTTCGTGGAAAACGAAGTTCAACACAGAGAAACGAGAGGTGTCCAAACTGCAGGAACGAATTTCAAGGTTGAAAAATAGTTTAACAGACAGGGATAATGAAGTCATGGATTTGAAAATAGCAGTGTCTGATGCCGAGGAGAAGATTTTCCCCGAGAAAGCACAGGTTAAGGCTGAAATATCTCGATTGCAATTAGAACGGACACGTTTAGAGGAGCAAATTAAAGACTGGGAATCTCGTGCTCGGTTGTTGGAAGACGAAATCAGACAGATGAAGTCTGGAAAAGCAGAAATGGAGGAGAGACTGAATGGCGAGATCGTACATTTGAAGGCAGACATCCTTGAGAGAAGCAACCAAATGGAGAATTTAAACAAGGCCCTTGATGCAATGAAAACAGAAAGATATGAGCTCAGCACCAAAGCCACAACACTACAGGCAGAGGTGAGTTCAAGAGACGATCAGATCAATGAGATCAACAAGACCTTGCAGCATATGCAGACGGAACATCAAGAACTGCTCAACGGGGCTGAAGGGGAGCGTAAACAGGTGGAGGAGCTGACAGAAAGAGCAAAGGAACTCGAAGAGGAGATTCAGAGGCAAAGAGTTGTGATCATGGAAGGAGCAGAAGAAAAAAGAGAAGCTATAAGGCAGCTATGCTTCTCGCTCGAACATTACAGGAACGGATACCGTAGGCTTAGACAGGCGTGCATGGGAAACAAGGGAATTCCAGTTTTGGCAACTTAAGCTAAACACAAAACATGCTGTCATCGTTTGTATAATACATAAATTTTTGAGTGCCTTTTTTTGTATCGGGGTCGGAAATGGCCAGCTGAGTGATGAGCTATAGGCCATGATCTCTCATGGTCGAATGAATGTGAGGTTTGTGTAGTGTAGTATACATATAGATGCAGAGGGGTCCTGTCTTAAGGACCCATTTGAGTCACTAATTTGCCCTGAAAAATGGTGGAGAGGGCAGAAATTTGCGTGATAATTCTGGTTTGGTGTTTGGTTTTGGGGTTGAAATTGGCACAATTGAAAGTGTGTTTGCAAACTTGAGACACATGACTACATATTCATTTGCTATTTAAAATTTAGGGAAAAAAAGGCCTACGGACTTTTGGATCTTATCATTTTACCCTCCGAACTTTTTATTTGGTTTTGTGCCTCCTAGGCTTTCAATATGTGTCATATTTTTCTCAATTTTATTAATTTCATTACGTGTAATGCAAATGACCTTTTTTATGAGCATATACGCCAACCAAATGTTTTATCAACAGGAAAAATTACCGAGTGATCTTAATATATTGTCAAAAACAAACTTTAATATTTAGCTAATTAAATTAAATTTTGAACTGTTGAATTTCTTTAGCTAACACTTTGCAAATTGACCTCAAAAAAAAAAGGAAAAGGAAATAAGATTCGCGCCAGGAAGGGGTCGAACCTTCGACTTTCTGCTTAGGAAACAGACGCTCTATCCACTGAGCTACAGGCGCTTGTTGTTGACAACAATCCTTCATTAATTTTTATAAACGTCTGACATGGTTCTTAGACCCAAAACCTTCGGAAGATCCCATGAGGAAGACTATGTGGTAAGTTGTTATCATGTCAATTCTCTTACATTGTTTTTTTCTCGTACGCAAGAGAAATTCTTAGATAAAGAGTGCGACATCCAACTACCTTTCACGTAGGAGAAAGTATTGGAAACGGCTGCCACATAGTGGCGTGCTCAAAATGAGTGAAACTCTATGGACTCGCATGCAAACCCGTTAGGAGAGGCACAGGCAACCCCAACCAAGAATTTATGCTCATGTTGCTCGCTCTCGATTTTCTACTAGCTCAACACGCGAAACTCAACATAAAACGAAAAAAAAATTAACCTTAGAATTTCTAGCACTAATATTATGATAAAATTTGTTTTAACCCCGGCGTCTTATTTAGCTATGCATACAAGACGTTAGTCATGCTTGTTTAAGATTATTTCTAAAATGACTAAAAGCGTACCTTTGATTATGCCTAGGAAAAAAAAAAACTCAAAGAACTATTGGGCCTTAAAAGCTGTTCTTCAATGAGCATCACCAAGTGCTTTTTTCACCAAGCACTTAGAAGTTTTTGTAAGAATTTCGACATGTCACAAGAAAAGCACTTTTAGCAAAAACATTTAGGATAAGTGCTTCGTATATAAACTGTCCCAAACGATTATAACAACCACCACCACCAAATTTTAGCTCACTAAATGAGGTGGGTTATGTGAATCATGAAATGCTACTGCGCTCGATTTTCTATGTTTCACTATATTCTAGCTCAATTAAACAATATGCAGAATGTAGAATAATATGACGTCAAAAATTGGAAACTCATATGCAAGAGATAGCAAAAACCACAACCAAATCTTAAAGAGAATATTCAATTAAAAAAAAAATAGTCCCTTGGAAATTCTAAAACAAGCAAATTATTGAAACAGATGGGAAATTAGAATCTCTCCTCTGATTGGTTGGCTCATTGAAACTTGAAAACGACGATGAAAATTGCGTTACGACGGATCTAGATCCAGCAACATCGTGAAATTTATTGGCCTTCAGTCTCAGCAGGCTTCTCGAAAAATGTCTTCTTTATCCAATCAAACGGCTGTTAATTTTAAGCAAATCAAAATAAATAAAAAGAAAAACCATTAGAATCATAATGTTTCTGAAGTTTTCTAATCTGTTGCTCAATCTACGGATTTACTGGGAAAAAGAATAAATAAATATGCGATTTTTGATAAATAAATAAATTGGGGATGAGAGGAAGTGAAGTGGGAAGCGAGAGAGAGAGAGAGGGGTTAGACCTGGACGAACCAAAGAGCGCCGGTGCCGGCGGCAACGCCCCACATGGCGGCGGCCTTTACATCGGAGGATTGGGGAATCGAGAGCTTCGAGAAACGTGCTGCGAGTCCACCTGCCATTTTTTGGATCTGAATTCACAACAAACGCAAACAGAGGAGCAACGATGACGCGCAGCAAAGAAAAGCGACTTTGAACAGGCCGCTGCGTTTGAAGTCGCAGACAATATTTATAAAATAGTCTAATTACACGTCCCATCCAAGTATTTTTTAAATTGACAAAAGAACCCCTAAAGTTACTAAATATTATATATTGGCCTCTCAATCAATCTAACTATCGAGTGAACTACTATTTCTTAACTTGTTAATCAATGACGATGAGATTACTTTTCCGGCATGTTTATTTGGAAGAAATGAGATGAGTAAGCAATCGGAGAACTTAGAATTAGGGAAAGTAAGTACCGGTTTAATACTGAGGTGTTTTTATAAAAACTGAATATAAAAAAAAAAAACTAAGCTAAAAAATGTGTTTGGTAAACACTTAAAAACAGCTTATTTTCACAGTTTTAGGTGAAAAACAGCTGAAATCGTGAAGCATAAAAAATAAGCTTATTCTCACAGCAGAGCTGAAGCAGTTTTTTTTCAAAGCACAACAATACCAAACCAAAGAAATGGAAATCGAATAAACTAGCCCCTTGATTAATCTGATTTCTAACTTTGAGGTATTTAATTACAAATTTTAAGGAGAAACTCGCGGTCTTCTGATTTCATGTGTTAGTGAAACGATTCTTAAACCCATATTTTCGTGCATGGGACCGAAACCGTGAGATTGTATATGCCTCTAGTGAAGCCATAATCAATTCAAATATTGCATTCCAATACAAACATCTCAAGAAAACTTCATTTTTAAGATATACAACGGAAAACCTATGAGCCAACCTTACAGTCTCTAAATCCGTTAAATCATTCATCCTTAGTACAGATTCTGGGTACACTAACAATGTAAACGACAGACCTGAAACGCGGACAACGCACAAGGAACTAATCGTGTTCAGCACCTTTGTAGTCCAAGCCTCAAGTCAGAAGCAACACGCCTCTATCACTTTACCGAGGTTGCAAGACAAGCATGCATAAAGCAGCACAGGCACGTTTACAGCTGACAGAGGCCATGAGGTATGGATGGGCAAAGAGGGAAGACCGAGGGAACGAGGGAGGGGGGAGAAAGTCCGGGCACTTCTATTCTAGCTTCCACACAAACTACTTACCAACGTCAATCTGGAAGTCCCACGAGTGAATCTTTGCTTGTATTTAAAAACCCACTGAAGGTAGACTTCATCAATCGTCCCAAGCACTATCTGCTGCACCTTCTTTTTTATTGTTCGAATCAGCAAACATGAACCGATACTTATCCTCAATGTTTGCTGATGCTGGTCCCGCTGTTGAGCTATTGGATAAGGCAACCCTAGCTTGCTTTTGAGCAGCTGCTGCTTCTTTCTCTTTCCTTCTTGCAGTCTGATAATCAATAGCAAAAATTGCCAAGCTTATAAACACATGAAACAAAAATTTTCTGTTCTTTCTACCCAGATTATTTATAAATGAGAAAGAAATTCTGTGCACTAGAACGATGCAAAAGCAATGTCCGTTGATAGCATATCTCAGAATTAGTACCTTCCCAGTTGCAAAAGCCACAGCATTCCCAGATCCCGCATCTGATATTGCTTTCTTTATATTTGCCACGAGGAACTACAGTGTGCCATCGATAATCGAGAACGAAGAGTTATATTCTGCTAATGGAAGAGAGATAGTGAGAAGAAGCAATAAGAAAAGGTGGAGAGCAAGGTACCATGTCACGATCAGTGTAAAAGGAAGTAGATTGTCCCATTGATCCTGCTCTTCCCGTTCTTCCAATCCGGTGCACATAATCTTCCATGCTCTATATTGAGGTAGCCATAACTGAAGCTTCAGGTTTGCTATTTCACAACAAATTTAATAGCAACTGAAAAGACCAGGCTATTGAGATGCTATCACATGATACTATGATAGCAAACAGACTTATGATCACAAGTTGACGCTATTCATATACCAAAGGTCACCACCTATTTGTTAAGGACAATGGCGGAAATGAAACTCTGATAAGAGCTGCCTAAATTATAGCCAATTTTCAGATAAGCTTCTAAGTTGGGTTAGTGGATTCCAGATATAAATGAACCAAGAGGCAGGCCTTCCATTGCAACCAGCTATACCTTTGGAAGATCCAAATTGACAACATGTGCAACTCCTGAGACATCCAAACCGCGAGATGCAACATCAGTGGCGACCTACACACATGGTCTCAATCAGACACTTGATAATTGGTGATGTTAAAGCTGCCTTATATTCAAGCAGAATCAGACAAAGATGAACAGATATAAAGAAAATGTGAAATTAATAGACCACAAGGCAGTGCATGTACCAAAATACTGGTAGTGCCTTTTCTAAAATCACGTAGAGCAGCCTCTCGTTCAGTTTGAGTACGACCACCATGAAGAGCAACTGCATGCAACCCTTGTGCTACCAAAGCTTCAGCAACTTCGTCACATCTCGTCTACAGGCACACCCAAATTCAATGTCAAATTTCATGAATGAGCCATACAAATGTAAAATGCAGAGCCTCACAAAAAGAGTTAGTAACGAGAGAACATTAAGTCACACCAGATTATTAATTTTTCCGTTTAGCAAGCAAGGCATAGCATCTTGCACTAAGAACAGGAAAGACTTCAAATTGAATTTGCACAAACTTTTCACTAATACAAATTTCACGATAATGACCTTTAAACCAAATCATAAATGAGTTTGCCGTCACAATATAGAGGTTTGGAAGACATGCAAGCAATGCAGGAACTTGTCCATCAATTTTTTAAACCCATCACCATTAATTATAAGCTTGAAATGATGCCAGTCATAATCAAGTAACAATAAAGTATAAAGCATAATGTACCTTCCTTTCAACAAATACAATAGTTAAGGGAAAGGGATGGCCAGTTCCTTCAACCCTAGATGCCTCCTCGACGAGCAAAGCCAAAAGCCGATCAGTCTATACAGACAAGGCACAATTGTCAAGTTAAAACGAGGCCAAGAACTCTCCCAGTAAAAGATCTGCGAAATATGCTACCCAAAGATGATAAGATCATCATCAAGCACAGAAATACGCAGGGAGTGGCAAATATACATAGAACAACTCTCCACACCATAGGTCTAGCACTAAATTCCTAGAAACCTCATCCCCACCCCAAAGGAAAGAAAAAGAAAAGATAATATCACAGACTGCGGAATTTAAAAAAATGCAGAGAAACCAATATTGCTTATTCTGGGTGAACCAACCTTCTCACTCTCAGGAACCTTCTCCAAAGTCTGAGTTACGTTTGCTGTAGGGCTACTCACTTTTCCTACCTTCACTTGCACAGGTTTAGTTAAGTATTCCTGAAGACAATAAAAGCTAGAATAAGTTTTCACTGAAATTGAGCATGAAGGTCTTAACTAAACCAGAAAGCAAGCTAGCATAATGATCTTAAAGGTATTCCAATACCAGTTTTGGTAAATTAGAAAATAACAAACTACAAATTCATTTCAAACTTGGTGTAAAACTACGTTGCACTAAAGGTATAATGCATTAGTTTCTATTCATACAATCAAGATTGTCTAGTTAGTAATATGTCCATCTGGTAAGCAAAGCGATAAATAGGTCTGTATACCAATCTGCCTGTTGCAGAGCAAGAAAATAACATTATGTTACCACCAAAACAAGAGCTAATGGCTTATATGTCACAGGAAAGAGAGAAGGTTCTCAGACCCAACATACAGGAAAAATAAGCCATAGAAACATAAGATTGTAAAATGAGAAGGTTGATTCTATGAAAGAACCACAGTGACACATTTCCCTTATTTAGTTACAAAAACTATGAATAGAATTACTTCATTACATTAACTATGATAATGTTCATAAAAGCTCGTACAAGAAAGTAATCAAGTGGAAACCTTACCTGAGCTAATTCTTCTATCTCTTCAGGCATAGTTGCACTGAACAGCAAAGTTTGATGCTTTTCAGAAAGGTTCCGCATCACCTAAAATGGCATCAAAATATGTGACATATCATTTCAGAATTAAACAGGGAATCAGATAGTTGTTCCATTTTTAAGGAAAAAGAAATAGAAAGTAAAAGGCACATTCACGTCAAAAGTTGAGACAATATACCTCTCTTATCTGCGGTTCAAATCCCATGTCAAGCATTCTATCAGCTTCATCTAGAACAACAAAAGAAATTCTAGTGAGAGAAGTGTTCCTTTGTTGTAAATGATCTATAAATCTTCCAGGAGTGGCAACCACTACATCAACTCCTGCTCGTAGCTCAGACCTCTGTCAATCCATCCAGTAGAAATACACAACAAAACAAGTATTAGCAGAGACTAATAAGATATATATATTCCGTAAAATGACATAAAATTGAAAAAAACATTGCACTAAAGGCATGTCTCAGTCTTACTGCATGAGAAATCAAGGGAGGTATGAGGTTAAGTGTTTTCTTTTCATACCACAGGTCAGAGGGGAGGAGGGTGGAGGGGGGGCATTAGGGAGAAACATACGTTCCTAAGAATCTATAACACTAGAAGCATTGATTCAAACCCTAGCCCACACCTAGGCATTATCAAAACCAAGAGAGAACGACAAGCACTAACGAATTTCCAGAGTCACAACACCTAGAAGATCAAGAACAATTATTGAAATAAAATGTACAGTTATTCCCCCAAATCAATTACCTGCTCAGAAATGTTGGTTCCACCGACCACAATTGCAGTTCTGAAGGACTCGAGAGATGCACTAAAAGCTTTGACCTGCAAAACCACAATATAACTTAGCACTTAGAAATAAATTCCAGACTAACAATCATATACTGATAAATTCATTGTGATCTTTTGCAGCTTAGATCACCTCTTTTTCAATTTGTTGGGCAAGCTCTCTAGTCGGAGCCAATACCAGAGCTAGTGGTCCATCACCACGCTGAACAGGAGGTTGAGCCAAGCAATGCTGTACATCGAAAATGACAATTAAAACATGCCTTAAACCAAAAACGCACATATAGTCCAGACTACATAAGAATACTAAATAACGGGAAC